ATATATTTATATTGCTAATGAATTAAAATAAATGAATGCTATTGAAATTATCTGAGTTACAAATATTAATATAAAGTTATATATATTAATATATGTCTCTGTAACAAGCCTTGTATTAGTTCAGGATTGCAAAATTCACCTCTTAGTCAGCAGAAAATTTCCTAAGAAGACCTGGAAATCCAGTTACATTAAAATAGAACAGAAAGAACTCATGGATTGCTTCCACTCTAGGCCAGCAAAGCCTCTTATGTTTTGAGAAATGTACCTTCAGAAGTGCCTTCTCACATATTACAGAATTAATCTGTGACATTTATTGTCCTAAGACATTCCTGCCATGAAAGCTTATAAGGGTTAACAAAAAGAAAGTGTTCATTTATATGGAAAGTGTGATTTAAAACCTCATTAATTGCCCCCATCTTACTACAGACTTCTCTCTCACACAACCTCTCCATTGCTGACCATCTGGCTGTGTTTCCAAAAAAAAATTGGAATGTAGGGGCAACCATCAGGACTATTCAACAGTAACATTAATTATAACCAAGAACTTAGTCACAGTAGGAGATATGAGTATCTTGGGCAAAGAGGGGGCTTCAGAAGGATGTATATGATATTGCTCATTTTTAAGTTAAAAAACATATGGGGAAAAAATGCTCTTGTGTTCATCCGTAGGAACTTTAGCAGCCTAACTTTGCTGAAGATATCTCAACATTAAAGTATAGCTACTAGGCCATCGAGTCAGCTTCAGCTATCTCACCTGCTTTTACACTAAATAGATGCAGAAATCAGTTACTAACCTTTTCACTGCCTATTGTTAGGTTATGTCCTGGAGCATTAGCATGGGGAAAAAATGCTCTTGTGTTCATCCGTAGGAACTTTAGCAGCCTAACTTTGCTGAAGATATCTCAACATTAAAGTATAGCTACTAGGCCATCGAGTCAGCTTCAGCTATCTCACCTGCTTTTACACTAAATAGATGCAGAAATCAGTTACTAACCTTTTCACTGCCTATTGTTAGGTTATGTCCTGGAGCATTATTAGAATCTATTATGTATATTATCTGTTTCTGCTCCTTTAGGTTTCCAAAGACACTGGGCTCAAAAAACATGAGCTGATTTTACTAACAATGTCTCATCCGGTCCAAAGTATTTACGGTCCAATTACATATGTTAAACTATGAATTAAATATCCCAAATGAAATATTACGTAGCATTACAGCATAGAACACCAAATAATATTTTAATGGAAAAAATGACTGGTTTTAAATTGAAAAATAACCTTTGGACAGTTATGCTATTCACCTTGTAGGAAACTGACTTATGTATCGTATGTCGCTTCTTCAGCCATTGACTTCTGACCCCAACATATTGGAATGTTCCTTTCCTGTTGGATAGTCATCA